TCATAAAAGAGATAATCTGGAACAAGAATTACTTTTGAGCCTTTTTCTCTATTACTGTTATTATTGATATTTTTCTATAGTTTGGTTTGTAAGGGTTAGTTTTGTTTTTACGAGTTGAACATGGACTGATATCAGTTAGAGAAGAATTGAAAACCAGGGAGTACTGAATAGCTGTTTCATCATCGGTAGTACGCAGCCACTGGGGTTCGAACTCAGGACCTTCCGGTTACAAGACAATGGGACCAAACTTAATGGCTCATGAATTCTAACTTCTACCGATCCGTGATTTAGCGCGACCCCAACCAGTGTCATAGGTGAGATATCCATCCTCACACGTGGCATCTGGATGGACCTCACTGGTCACGACTTCTCACTAGAACTCCAGGAAACTCTATCATGTAGCAAGTCACTAGCGAGAATCAGATTAATTTCCTATAGTTTGGTTAGAATTCATGAGCACTTGAATTGGGTCCCATTGGCTGAATGGTATACGAGCTTGCCTTGTAACCGGAAGGTCTTGCATTCCAAGCCTATCGGTGGGTGCGTACTGGCGATGATTCCCAAAATTAGGATGTCCAGTGCTTTCTGCTTTTCAATGGTTCTCTAACTGATATTTTTAATGAATTTTAATAATGTTCACTTGTACATTGGACTTAAAATGGTGCTGCACCATATCACGTCTGCTCATTGAATCGACTTACTTGAGAGTAGTGCCCTAAAGTGTCCGTCTCATTTGTTTCAATGTACTAATAATAGTCAGCTTTCTAAAAAGACTATGGATAGCATAAAAAGAGTTTGGAATTATTGTAGAATAAAAACCATCAATATATAGGTCCTGTAATTTAGATTATCCGTTTTGAAACTTGTAAATTGTTGTTGCCTGTTTTACTGAAATGAAATTACTAGCCTCTCTTGTTGTACTTCTCTCTTTAATGGGTATCATCATGAAGATTTTTAAAAATTTTTTCTATCTTTCTTACGACACTGGTATCAAGATTTACCAAGTCAAGAGGAATAGTGAAATTTCTATTCTTAAACTGTCTGAATAAATTTATCAGTAGTTAAAGAACAATGTAAATAAAGTGCACATCTTTAAGTTATGCAGATGACTTTATATATATATATATATATATATATATATATATATATATAATTCTATCAATGCATGCAGAATGTTACTTAAGAATTCCATGATTACTTGAAGTCAGTTGGTGGATGCTGACTAACAGTGGAATCCAGGCTGCGCATTTCTTCCTATTCGGGACTCGTCATCTGGATGTACCTGTTTTCATCGGAGAGTGATGGTGTTCCCACCAGGGCTCGCACCCAATGGCCATAGTTTCAAACGCCAAAGCGTTGTCCACCACGAGAGCCACCTCTTGTGTAACGGGTCATATTAATTATTTATTTCAATTTCTGATTGCGTTTTAAAGAAAGATATGTGGATTTTATGACCAGGAACATAATCTCATTTCTAATGTACTTGGAAACAGATAAACAGAGATAGAAAAGTAATGCCATTCCGTTTGGCTATGAAAAAAGTCAGATGAAAAATTATATCCCCATACAAATAATAGCTTCATATTTAAACGTCTATACTCAAAGATCCCCAAGCATCCTTACAATTAGTGCTGCTGCTGCTGCCGCTTCTAATACTACAATCTTTCTCAAGTATTCATTCCATCTCTTTGTTGTTTATAAATAGATTTAGGTAGTTATGAGCTGTAGTCATATTTTATTCATTAAAACTCAAAGTACTAAGTTCTGCTTTAAACACTTGGGTGAAATCTGTTGTTCTTTATGTTCCACTGCAGCTTGAGCTACGAAAAGTGTAACAAATTACGAAATACTAATGTTAATTATAAACAGTTGACAGCATCCCGATGATGGAGATGTAGCTGATTGGTTTAATCACATGACTTTCAATTATCAGGCTCTAGGTTTGAATCTCCTTCACCTGTTCCTACCACCTAGACGACCGCTACGTGCAGAAAAATAAGTGCTACTGACAGCCTTGAACACTAGAAACCTTTCACAAGAAACTTCATCCAAACAATATATTTTATTTAGTGGATTAACTGAGAATAATACAATTAACTAATATTATTATTCCTTTGGTTTCGAATTGGAACATAACACTTCAACAGAATATCTCTATTTCGTCCTGTTCTCTGATGTCCTCTTCAGACAGATTCGAAATTTGAATGAGGCATTTAGAAGACAAATTTTGCGAGACGATATCATTTCGTATATCATGATCTTTCTGAATATGATTGGTCATTAGTATATACATTTGTTTTTATTTAACTGAGTAACAGTCGTGAACTTTACTTTATTTTACTATTGTTAACCATGTTAGTTGTAAAGCGGTTGTAAAAAAACTACGAATTGACATCATCTTGCGAAATTTGCCTTCTGAATGCCTTATTCAAATTTATCAAAGCGACTTATTGTTCTAAGATTCAAGATTGAGCGTAAACCGTTATCTCCCCATCATATGATCACTTTCGCGTCAAACTTTGACTTCAGAATAGTCGTTTCACACTCGTGAATCACTTGAGTGATTAGCTCTTGATGTCACTCAACAGTCTACTCAGCGTATTTCCAATCCATCTCCATTTCTCTAGGCATGTTTATTGGATGATTTGTTCTTAAATGGTTCGTTCTTAAAGTCTCTTGTTGGTAATTGTTTCTGACCAGCAAAGGCAGCCGTTGATTACTGTCTGCAACATCCTGTTTCAAATGCCCTTCTTGATACTCGGACCAAATCTCGGAACAGTAAAGAAGAACTGGTTCTCTCTCTCATTGTATATATATAACAATAACAATTTCGCTTTATTCCAGAAACAGTACTTGTGGTACAGTGTGGAATTTTCAGCACATATCTACAATATTGCATCTAATTTCATCGTACATTTAAAAGGAGTATTATAAAAAAAAAAAAATATTTAAAAAAAACAAAAAAAACAATAACAACAAAAAACCAAAAAAGAAACAGAAATAACAAAAAAATGCAATAAAAATACCAAGTAAAAAGGAAGATAAACACAAATAATGAAAAAAATATTTCAGTATTGGTTAGTGGAAGCTACGATATGAGTATGCGTGGTGAACAGTAACAGCTATAATCATACGGGAAATTATGAGATGTTCTTAAAAAAATGTTTATAGCTAAGATGATCAGTTAATTTGATTGAACAACACTAAGCAATCATAAGATAAACATTTCAGGTTGTATTTTTTTTTATTGTCAGCACTAATGCAGTTGTTTGTAGTGGTAGTGTGAGGAATCATGTATAATACAAAATTTTTTAAGATGGTGATAGTGGCAATAACAAACAAGATTGTCAGTTAAATAGTGCCGAACAAAGAACAACCACAAAACTAATGTTACATGATGGTTAATGACGGGACAATTTTTAATAATCATATATATATATATATATATATATATATATATATATAATCCAAACGAGTGATTCAGCGAAGAGACTCTTCTCAATGAATTTATAGTCAAGCTGTACAATCGTATAAATATGGTTTTTAAGAAGTTATATCCAGTGAGGGAATTGAATCATAGATGTGAATGCATAAAAATAATAATAATAGTAGTATGAAATGCAATTAAAACTAAAATGTTTGTGATTATAATCAAAGATAAACGTCAAGTGGCAAAGCAAATTAATATGGAACTTGAAAAAGGGTGTGCAGTTATAGGATTAGTAGACAAATCGAATAAAATAAAAACGTTACGTAATATTGTGTGAAATTTGATAGCATAGAATTGATTTAGAATGACAAGTGGAAAAGTGAGTAGTAGTAATAGTAACAGTTGACGTAATAAGGAGGAGTACACAAATTGAATAGACAAAATGAAAAAATGAAAAATTGGTAGAGCTGAAATATGATTGGGGATTACCAACCATACTTTAGGATAGAGGGATTAAGACCATGAAAGTTGGCGGGGTTGAAGGAACTTTTTCTGTACACAGAGATCTGGCTTTTCTGTTTCGATAGCCAAAGATGGCTTCAGCAATAAAGATGAGTTAGTTACGTAGGGATTTGGCTTAATTACTTTTGCCTTGTAAATGACTTTAAAGGCGGAGGCTATTGAAATAGCGTGATCATTATCGATCAGATGTTCAATGATCGCGCTTCTTATTGCTGCACTTCCACCTCTTCATAACCATGCAGGATAGTGTTCTTGCACCGTCTTGGACGAAACTTGAGTCGAACGACCGATATACCTAGCTCCACACGAGCAGTTGAATTGATATATACATACAGAGTCGGTCAACAGCGGGATCTTGTCCTTTAGGTTATTGAACAGTAATGGTCGACTAGTAAAGGCTATTCTCAGAGATGCAGCAGGGAATGTTCTTTGCAGGGTCTGTGATATCCTTCATTTCATGACATCGGAAATTATGTCTCCTTTGAATTCCAAGCTCTTAGATAGGAATGATAAGTCATGTTTTACACTCTTATCTACAAAACGCGGTAGAAATCCATTTTCTATTAGGATTTTCCTCAAAAGATATAACTCATTTTCCACAGTATCAGGGCTACATATGCGCCGAATACGAGTGGCAACCGACCGGACCAGCTGTAGATTACCCAGTTGTAGAAATTTATCAGTTGACCATTCCATGACAGCTTTCGGTAAATCGACCTCTTCAGAGTTCCATCGGTCCTCCTTGATAAGTTCACATCGAGGAAATGAATGCTAGACTCATTCTCTATTTCGAGTGTGAATATATATATATATATATATATAAGAACTGGTTAATTTGTGTTCAAATTCAGTTGTTTTTCTCTTATCTTGCTACTCACCATACATCAGTTGTCTTCAATTCACGTGCACCTAATAACTCTTTTCGATTGAATAAGTTTCGAAATTCTAATTGTAATAAACTTCACTTTGTTTTTAAAAGTATTACTGATTTGTGTTCAGAATCCCGTTCAATGTCAGTTTTCCCCCTTGAAAACAATTTTTCTAATAGGTATCAAAGAGTACTGGAGTAGATTTCAAACAGCTGAGAGTATGGACAGCATTCTATTGTGCTATATTTGGTTTTTTATTTGTTGGATGTAACATGTCTGGTATAGCTAATCATATACGCAGATCAGTTGAAGAAGTCTACAATTCATTTATTGGATTCTTTTTTTTATTGAAAGCTTTATTCACAATGTTTTTAGTAAGTGACACATTTTTTTCTCTGATTCAATTTTGTTATTTTTTATTATTTTGAATAAACAACCGAAACACGTTTTAGCTTATTAAAGTCTATGGTGTTGTAGTCAGTTTCCGATTTCGCAAATGCCTTTAGCAAATTCTGGATATTGTTCCAGATGCCTTTCACCAATACTAGTGTTAAAGGAATAAAATACTCATTGATACAAACAGTCAACAGTAAATTTCAAGTTATATCATAAAATGAAACCAGTTAGACAACCATTAAAAACTACTGAATACTGGATAGCTGTTTCTTCCTACTTTGCGATTCCCAAGCAGTATGCACCCATGACCCCGTTGGATATCTAACATACAACACTGAGATGAAAAGGAAGACCAACTAACCATTCATCCACTGGAACAGAACTCAATGATCTATAAATATAACTCCGGCTAATTTACGATATACAGCAGCACTACTAGCCAAGGTCATCGGCGAGTACTTACCCTGATACGCGACTTGATAAACCCACTGATTCGACTTGTTACTAAAACTGAAGGTGACTTCATCTTATAGGCAGTCACTGTTGAGTATTAGCTTTAGTGTTATTTTCCCTGGATAAAGTGAGCAGTCTTACTTCCAGCATTGCCTTCTTTCCAGACTCAATATCAACCTAGGTGAACTTTATGAGTACGTTGGCTGGGAATCCTACCCTCACCATTTTCGCGGTTGACACGAATTACACCTTTGAAATACCGCCGCAAAACGGTGAAGTGAGCACTTGGGTTTGACCTGGGAACGTTTCGATGTACGGCCGAATGCTTTACCATTGGGCTAAACAGCTAATTTCGTGACGACTTAATATGACTTTACAGTCATTGGTAAAATGTGTGGTCTAAATGCTTACAAATTCCATAAGACGTTATCGAAACGGCTGACCGAGATTACTCTTCTTCTGCAATCAGCCATATACAAATTTTAGAATATTTTGTTGCCTAGTTTATTGTATTAAACATACGTTTATGTTTTTTTACTCATTTTATACATTCACAGTTAATTCCTTCCAAACCAAAAGATAGCTCTATAGCTGCTAGTTTGTTTTATTATCAGAAATTAGCTGTAGCTGGAGTTACTTTATTTTTGGCATTTATCATGCTTCAGTTCTGTTTGATACTTGCTCAGTTGAAAAGAGGAAATTATTTCAGAAGAAATGTAAGTCATGCCTTTTTATTTTTTAGTTAACACTTTTTGGCAAAGTTAAACTTTAAGCACCAGCAGCTACCCATCAGCGAATGACCTTCAACGGACCAATCACAAGAAAGAGGGACTTTTGATTAAGGAAAACGTATATTTATGGAAAAAAGCATAAAAGCTGCATAAAACTGTTACATAAGGTATCCTTCTCTAGCATGTGACTGAAACATTTCCCAGTTTAGCATAGGAGAGACAACAGAAAAGTTACTTCACATTCTTTACATGTATTCATCCAAATCACTATAAATGAGATCCATTTGTAGACCTAATCCTATTTGTTAATCTTCCGCGAAATCCTTCTATAGAATTCGTGTGTGTAATTGGATCCCCAAAATCCCTAAGATGGTTCACTCGGTGATGAACATATCCAAGAGATGACAGCGAGTTATAACCTTTCCATTCATCAGTATGTACAATGGATCTCTGTTTCACAAGTCGAGTGACAATAGGTACTAAGGTAGTAGACTTTCTGTCTGGTATACTTTCCATGAATACTTTTCGCAGGAAAATGCCATACAAACCGATCACCCAAACATTGTTGGCTCGCTTACGACCACGGTTGTATTTTTTCTTCAGTAACACAGTTTTGTTCCCGTGTACAACGATACCTTCTACGCCTATCAACAAAGTTATTCTCTCCATTCTCTAAGAGGCGATATCTCTCCTTCCTAAGCAACCTCAAATCCAGGCAATACTGCAAAACCTTATCCTCATCTAACTACAAGCGCAACTTCGTTTGATACGAATCAAGCGCTATACAACCTTGAACTGGCATGCATGAGCCTCATCGTAACATCCCCTGATTGGTAGTTTATGGTGCTTAAATTTTCGCCTTGGCCACACTTTTTCGAAAAAATGCTCAACTTACAAAAGTTTCGGGAACTGTACTATTAACAGCAGTAAAAATATAGAGTGTGGATTTAGCTCTGAATGATTTCATCGATATTTTTGGTGTTAATATAAACTGAATTTGCAACAATAAACTGTTCAACTCAGGTAAATCCTTAGTGACTGCAGTGAGTTGAAGACTTATTTAGCACGTATATTACATTACTTAGTTTGGAAAGTGTCTGGGTGATAGTTCAAAGGTCACTTGCTCAGATTTAAACGCTGCTGGTTCCTCTGTCATTTCGCCTTCGATTACCACGAAATTCATCATGGCTATCTATAAAGACACATCAAGGATTTTGCATTCGAAGTCTCTCAAAAGTAGAACCATTCAACTTGCCATAGGTAAAAATAATGTAATAGCGAAGTGGAAGAGAACTATTAGATAAAAAAGGTTTAGGAATCTGGAAGATGATCGGATTTGAACACTTCTGCACCGCTGTCATGTATTTTCAGCTACATCACTAAAAGTGTTCAACCGGTGTTTAATAACGCCTCCGTGACTCAAGTAAGACATGTACATATGTAGAGTAAAATATGGAGAAAAGTAAAATTTTACAGAGGAAATCTCAGGATACATACAGGAACTTCATTCGGCATTTGATGAATTGTATTATCTTTAGCACAGGCTTAATATCTGACTTTCTATTAACCAACCCGTATACTTGGTTGGAGGATTTCATCATGAACTGATATCAGTTAAAGAATCATTGGAAAACTTGGAAGTACTGGACAGCTATTTCGTCCTAAATTGGGACTCTTCATCAGTACGCACCCACCGGGATTCGAATCCAGGACCTTCTGGTTACAAGGCTAGCGAGCTCGTAGACCATTAGGAAACTGGGACCCGATCCACTGCCCCATGATAACAAATTTATGCCAATCCATGAAATTGCGCAACCACTTCGTAATGTCGTCTTCGATGAGTTAACGCCCCAACCTGTCGCACCCGACTGCTCACAGCTTCTCACTAGAAACCCACGTCACTGCCTGAATAGGGCCAGTCGCTAGTGAGCATGAGATGTGCACCGTATACTGCTTTACAGATTTTACTTTATACTTATGATACATAGCTGATTGCAGTAAAAAATATGGCATCGTTACATGTTTTGCTTCACGAGTGACTTCGTTCAGTCTCCGCGTTAGCTGAAATAACACGCTGAAGTAGGGTGGAGCGTTTGAGGCAAAGAAAAACGTTAATTGATGAGATTGTGAAGTTTCATCAGTCGATGTGGCTAGGAAATGAGCCACTCATGTAGAGCCACCACTTTATTTTAAAAAGCATATCAAGTGTAATAAGAGTTAGTCAGATGAAATCAAGACAAGAATTATTGAAGTAGCTGTCATTTTATCAAGGTCATCTAAGATGGTGTAGACTACCTGCTAAGAATCAGTAGTTTAAGATACTTAGTAATATGGCTCAAAATCACACATGATAGAACACATGTATTTGCTTAGTATCACCTTTCAAATCCAGAAAATCGTTACCTAATTGTTCTCTTCATCTCACCCATCGTTGTTCATTGCATAGTTACCCCGTTTGTGTTAGCCTTTATGTGTTTTTAATTGGGGGATCGTGACTAGCACTGGAATTCAGGATGCGCATTTCGCCCTATTTGGGACCTGTCATCTGGATGTACTTTCATTTATCGGTGAGTGATGATGTCCCACCGAGGCTCAAACCCAGTGACCATAGTTTCAAACGTTAAAGCTTTATCTACCAGACAACTTGAGCCACGAGAGCCACCTCTTGTGCAACGGGTCATATTAATTTAATTGAATTTTAGATTTTCCCGTCGACTGACTGAACCGAAGTGGTCGGTCTCAGGTTGACATGTCGGCTTCTTGTTCAGATATTTTGACGATGTCTGGGCATTTAATTAGTATTTAAATAAGTGGCACCTTGACCTGATGCATTTCTGTGTAGCGTCCTACTCTGATCTATCTGCTAGTGATTGCATTACTTCAAACTTTTACCATTCATGAAAGGAGAACAAGAGTCGGTAATAGGTTTAACAAAGGAGATGGTGTATAAGAGTATCCTGAATTTATTCCCACATTTATTGTCTGATATGTTGGCTATTTTACTGTTTACTTTCATTATTTTTACGGTCTGAATAAGTATTACATGTTAACTATACTAAATGTGCATAATGCATTTTCATATTTTCATTAATTGTGTATATTATAGATTCGAAAACTTCTAGGTGCATTGAATGTACCTTTGGGTATGCTATTAATTACTGGATTGGAGAGAATATTTTTTAGAGGTTATAATTTACCAACTGTAAATATACCTCCATCAAATCAAGTCAATGCTTCAACATGGGTGAATTCACCAGATTTCTCACGTTTATTAGACTACAGTAAAGCACCGTCTACACTTATCCATGGTACTTCAGCGGCTCTTGGAATAGCTTTAGCAATAATTATTTTTACTGAAGCCGCTTTAAATGGGTAAGTTTTGTTTAACTGATTGGTTGTACAATTTACATATCTTGTTGATGTTGTTATGCTCTCTGATCTGGGTGATATAACTACTAAGTTATCATTGTCCCTTTAACAACAGTTTCAGCGAATAATTCCTAATGTATGAACTATTTGCCTCTCCTCATGACCTTCCTGTAGACTTCTTCGTTATACTTGAGTCCACTTGATATTGATCTCCTTGTCACTTACCTTTTTTTGACTAATGAATGAATTGTGGCCCAAGTGGTCTAGTGGATAACGCTTTTCCTCGACTATATAGGGGTGAGTATCTACGCCTGTCACGTGGAAGGGCCAGGTTCGATTCCTGGTCGAGGAGCCAGTGCGTCGGTGGCATAGTGGTTAGGACGCTCGCCGACCATGCGCATGGTCTGAGGTTCGATCTCCGGCCACACACGCACTCCTTTACCTCGCTAAGCCAGAAATAATGCTAGTAAAGAGGAAAGGTTGGGGATGAGGCTAGCAACCCCATCCTGTAAAAATTGAACACTTCTACAGAAACTTCAAGCCACTAGCTTGAAGCCCTATGTTCCATTGGGGAACGTGAAGGAAAATATTGAGAAAGAAAAATGAATTTAATCTGTATCCACATATCTATTAATTGAAGTTAATTTGAGTATCAAGTTTCAAGCGTTTTTCTGGTATTTCTCATCTTTCCATTGTCAAAGTCCTTTATCCGGTCCCAAATGAATTAACTTGTACACTTGTTCATGTGAATTTATATGAACCAAACTGTTAGTTTGTTTATGTCTTCATACAAAGATGAAGATGGCATGAGGATAATGGTTTTTTTACAGTATATGCCACTTCATTTAAGCCGTATATATTTCTCTGAAATCCTTCTTTTTTGTAACTGACTTCTTTATCATCTTATCTTCCATGTGAAGAAGGACTTTAAACTATTCTATCCTGAACAAATCACACAATCGAAACAAGACACCACCATCTTTCACATGTTCCAACTTCAATATTCCGTCATTTCATTGTACTGGTTATGATTATTATTATTATTTTGGAATGTCACATAAATTATCAGCTGACCTTTGCATTTGATCATGTCAAAAATATTTCCATCACTATCAGCAAATAAATTCACACACACACACATGCACACATACACACAAGAATATACTGACTAGTTAATTTTTGTTCAGGATAAAATCTTTTTTTTTTTAATTTCATACGTATTTTCATGAAATTATGTGATTAGAAGAACCTTAGAACACTTAATTGTTTTTTGATGGATGATTATACAGAGGCAGATGAGAATAGTAAATAGGATGAGTGACATCGCGCGTCAGCCCATTGCTCGAGTGGAACCAGGCCGAAAGGGAAGCGGTGAGTGGGACGTAGGTGCAAGGGTGACATGGAGGAGATCGTGTGAAGAGGAGTCGAAACAGTATGGACTAACATGGGTGTAGGTGAAAAGAACAGCAGAAGACAGAAGCAAGTGGAGACGTGCAGCTGGAGCCCTTTGTTCCACTAGGAACTCAAGGGAACAATAATAATAATCTTCTTTGAGATCATCATTATAAAACATATTAGGCCATTGCTTAAAGGTTTGCTAAGACAAGGGCTTCTTAATCATGGTGTTTGGCAATCAACGGATTATAAATTTGTTTTTTGTTATAGTTTTAAGCATTGACTAGTCCATGATTACGAAGTGTACTTATTATCTGGAGACTAATTAAGTTTGCTCACGGGTATCCAGTTATATGAAAAGCATATTTTAGTATTCTGTTAGCATAATTTGTTACTTTAATATGTTGTTAATCGTTACACAGTGATGCAACCATATTTTTATTCTATCAAATAAAAAGATGCGCAGACTATCGACAGAGCTAGCGGCGGTCAAACCAAAACATGGCACCAGTCAATGAAATCTACAACAGTTAGTCTAAGCCATGTAGGAAGGTGTAGACTTCCTGGTTAGGGTCCTCGGGACGGTAGAAATCAATAGTTGGAAACAATTAGTGATATGGCTCAAAATCGTTCTCAATGGCGCAGATGCATCCACTCCTTGTGATTTATGATTTCTTATGAAACTATATTGTTCTTCGTTATTACTCTTCCTTTATCTTACACCTGTGTTTACTGTCTCTATTATGTATTTCTTCTACTTTCTTCGTTTGCTTTGTGTGCTACATGGAGTGTGGCGACTTGAAGTGACGCACATCAGTGCAAAGTTCTATGTCGAAAACAAACAGACAGATAGATGTGGATATTATATGGAGGTAACCGACAGGAAGCCTAGCTCAGCCTAGATTTCGTGCTAGTTAGCACTCAATAGTCAGCAAGGCGTAGCTGCAATCTTGAAGGAATTCATCTTCCCCCTGAGATTCGAACCCGCGTCACCCAGTGCCACCTATAGTCAGAGATGTTACCACTGAGCTATTCGGGTTCGCGATTGACCTTCTGTAGGATTGTGTTGGACACTTTAATTTGACACTGGTAACTACTGCTATGTGTCTAGTCCTTTGTTTGGTGCACAGCGGATTCTATCAGTCAGGTTAGCAATGTAGCCAAAATCAGCGTCCACCGTGATGGTGAGCTACCTAGAATGTTGGCACAATGCCAACCTGACTGACAGAATTCAGTCTGCACTAAACAAAAGACTAAACACATCACACTAGTTATTAGTGTCAAATCAAAGTACTAATGGGTATAAATGTAATTCAATGGATTGCATATTACTGAGTAAATTTATGCGAACTAATCTTTTTATAATAAAACAAAAGAGAATTCATTTTTGGATTATTCCATCTCTTTTCTTTTTTTCTTTTCTGCTTTAAAGTTTAACAGCAATGAAAAATAAGGCTGCAAAACCGAATATTTTTGTAATGGACTTAATATTATTACAAATTGCATTCCCAATTATTAGCGGACTTACTGGTTGGCCTTTTGTGTCTGGTACAACAGTTCGTACACTAAGCAATCTTGTTGCCTTGGTTAAAATGGATCAAAGTCCAGCACCCGGTATGCCACATAAGTAAGTCAGATATACAAACGTATACTAGTCTACAGAATTACCACGTTAACTGATGTTTTTGTTTCAACCTAATAATATTCCTCTAGTAAGGTGGATGGGATATTTAGCTAGTTCTATCTATCAGCGAATTATGCACGAATGACTCTTTATTTGCCTGTACGTACCCACTGGGATTCGAACCCAGGACCTTCCGGTTACAAGGCAAACTTGCATACCATCCAGCCACTGGGACCCAATGCAATGGCCAGCCCATGAATTCTAACTTATACCAATTCGTGATTTGGCGCGACCCCAACCATTTTCATAGGCGGGACATCCATCCACATACGTGACATCTGGATGGACCTCAATGGTCACGACCTCTCACTAGAACTCAGGAAACTTCAACCTGTAGTAAGTCACTAGTGAGCATCAGATTAATTTTCTATAGTTTGGTTTGTAGGGGTTAGTTGTGTCTTTTTTACGAGTTGATATCAGTTAGAGAACCATTGAAAACCAGCACTAGAGTACTGGACAGCTGTTTCATCCTAGTTTGGGAATCATTGGCTAAATCACGAATTGGTATAAGTTAGAATTCATGGGCTGGCCAGTCAATCGGGTCCCAGTGGCTGAATGATATACGAGTTTGTCTTGTAGCCTGAAGGTCCTGGGTTTGAATCCCAGTGGATGGGTGCTTACTGCCGATGATTCCCTGATATCAATCCGTGATCACTTAGTAAAAAAACATAACTAACCCTTACAAACCAAACTATGGTAAATATTAAATGTCATCAAATGTATATATATGAGATTACTAGAATGAAAGTGAAACGAAGAATAAGAATGACATGAATGCGAGATATAAGTGAAAAGATGATAAGGTTGATAAGAGGATGTTAAAAACACCAAGTGTGATGCTGTACATCGAGAGGACTTTTGGAACTTTACGTAAGATTGTGAATAAAACAGGAAAATAATTGGCATTCAAAATCACAAATTATGTAGGTTTCAGCATCCTGTGGAGCCCATTTAGCTTATCTAACACCTAGTAATGAGTTTGCAGTCTAGTTTATAGATCACAGTAGGAGAACAGAGTGAATTAGGTTAGCGGAGTACAAAAGTCTTATTGAAGTCTCGACTAGAAAAATGCTCAGCTATATCGCTACATACACTCATACACAACTATACAATAGGATAGGACAAAGTGACAGTATTAAAATTAACCATATCAGAGTGGAAAGAAAAATTGATAAATGAAGCTTTTATTATCGAATACACACAATGCGAATGATTTCACACCTGATTCAGATATCTGGAAAGTTTTTTTATTTTTATGAGAAATTGGAAATTAGAACAAGAGCTATAATTACAAAGTTTTTTCAAGTTGTTTACTGGCCATAGATTTCCATGATTATGAACAATAAACTGTATTCAAAACGTTTTCCAGTAAATAATGCCGCTTGAATGTATGTTACTTACATCTAGTAGACAAATTAATATGAAATCACACACTGCTACAGTATACAGGTTTCACACTTACCGATTCTATTAGCATTAAATTCATCTATGTTGTATAGACGTCAAAAGTACATATACAGTTGACTGTCATAACACGTTAGATATTTTCATAACTGAAGGATATCAGTAAATAATTATTTTCTCTTTATTTATTACAGAATCATAGGAACTGTTGAACAACGTGTCAGTGGGGTATTTGTTGGACTTCTAGTGGCTCTATCAATTTTTCTAGGATCTATATTGAGTCATATTCCTCTTGCCGCTCTGTATGGCATGTTTCTTTATATGGGTGTAATGGGATTACGAGATTTACAGTTTGTTTTAAGAATGTGCTCATTAATGAAACGTCGAAAACATTGGGAGGACTGGGAGTGTGTTCGAGGTCTACCCAGCCGTCATATACTAGTCTTTTCACTTATTCAAGCTGCAGTTGTTCTGATACTGGTTATCCTGAATATTATTTCCGATTTTACACCTCTCAACTATGTTGGGATTATTTTCCCAGTTGTTATCCTTTTCTATGGTCTTATTCGAGAGTTTGCCCTACCAAAATGGAAATGGTTAGCCTTATATCTTCATCAGGTATGTCAGTCACTTTTGGTAGTTTTCTGTTATATATTATAATATATATAGGTATTTAATATTTTATTAAGTAATAACCAAAATTGATTAGTCTAAACTGTTGTACGACCTTAGACGTTGAGAATCAATGATCAGCAAAATTGATGGCTGTCTGCAATTATCTTTTGGACTTCCAATGTAATCAATCTAGCAACTGAAATGACGTGATAAACAGTTTGACTTCAGTACTGGGTTACGGTGGTCTGAAAAGTCTCATGATACTTGGAAGTGACCCGTTATTATAATTACATTTTTATTATTAATCAGCTGGGCTTCCAGAGCTTCAATAGCCTCACCTCACTTAATCCTCTCCCGTCTTTTTTGTCTTACTACAAAATTGGTTACAAGCTTTCATTCCCTCTTCATACAATCGTCTTCGTGTTACAATCGGATCCACTACCAAGTCGTCGCTTAATATTATTGTTCCAATTATCTACCTGTTTGGCGTGTAGTGTTATTCAACGCTTCCTTCAGTATATGTTCAATCCATCTCCGTTTACTTCTGTATGTTTGTTCGTTAGTCAACAGGCTATGGATTGATTTGCTTTGTTGCCAGATTTCCTTATTGCTTCGTTGTCCTTTCTTGCAGGTCATTTGATTTTCAGCCAGAGAAGGCAAGTCTTGGTGAAAGTCTGAAAGTTGTTGGAAAGGATTTTGATAATGCAAGCGGCAAGCCCCTGAACCATATAGAATCACTGACAACAATGTTAAAAGTTCGGACTTTGTTCCTTGTGACGAGTGCTGTAGGTTTTCTTACTGATGTCAGATTAAAGAAAGCCTGCTCTGCTTTCACGAACATACCTGGCTGGCTTTCAAACCCTCATCTGTTTCGTCAGTTGTGGCTGAAAAGATTTTACACAGGCCAATTACGTGAAGGCAATGACTTCCCTTAGACTTTCTCCAACCACTAGTGATTGTCGTTTGTTGTTAGTGGTGGTCGGGTATCTCGCACAACCCAGTAACCTTTATGCCTACTTGATGCCCTTCTCTTCTTCGCTACTATCTTCTTCTTGCTGGATTTCCACTCCAAATCGTCAGGGTCGTGAGAAACGAGAGGCGAATCATCGGCGAGGTTCATATCTTCTCTCCACAGTCTGTGGTATGACTTAGTTCATCGAAATTAGTAAGATCATCAGTGGCAATAAAGAGCATTGCGTATGATCTATGGCTTACAATAGTCAGTTTGCACAAATACGAATTCTATTTTCAAGTTTCTCCATCACCTATCTTCTAATACTTAATATCCTCTTCCTGAAAATACTATACCACAAGGCTGTGTTACTCCGTCTTAAAAAAATTCTGCATCTAGTTAATCGGACAAAGAACCTCATTTTGTACACTTAGATTTAATCTATACTGATAATAATGATTGAAATGACTGGATTTCACTCATTGACATATTGATGAATGAAGCTGTGATACATTAGTTTGATATTTCGTTAACTGTTGTACACCTGCATCCATGCATCTTAGTCCATACTGTTTCAACTCCTCTTCACACGATCTCCTCCATGTCACCCTTGCATTGACGCCCCACTCGCTGCTTATCTTTCGGCCTGATTCCACTCGAGCAATGGCCTGACGCGCGCGCGATGTCACCCAGGGGCGCGGCCTCCTCAGCCAGTGTCCAATCCATCTCAATCCACTCTCTCCTGCATATATGTTAGTTGGCGATTGGTTCTTGTTTTGTTTGTTTCAAGCCATAGTTTCTTGTGATTCTTTCCGGCCCAGCCCGGCCATCTGATCTTCAGTATAGATCCAGAGAAGACAGTTGTTGGTTGATGAAGGTCTGCAACAGGCTGTTGGAAATATTCTTTGGGATCCACCCGCCAAGTTTCTGATCCGTATAGAAGAAGTGACTGACTTGACGTTTGTATTGAAAATCCAAACTCTGTTGTTGATGCTGAGTTTATTAATCAGATATCGGTTCACAGTGGTAATGAATTGTAAACGCATTTGATAAGACTTCGCACTGAACGAAAAAGACGAATATCTAATGAAGTCGTTTATCAGTACAGTAATTTAGTCGAAGTGAACAGCCTTGTTTTAATGACTCATTTTACCTTAGATTCCTTGCATTAAACAAAGGAGGGAGAATTTCATATACGGATCCTTTCAACAACTTATTAACAGTGTACGCCATTTATACTTGTCCTAAATACTTAATGAAATGAATAAGTCATTCAGAAGACAAATATTGTGAGGTTATATAATTTCCCAGTTTCACCACAAACACGAATTGACTTCAAAAATTGAAGGATCTGTGTGCTTACTGCTAAAGAGTTCAAAACCGGGAGTAAGCGATACGTGGCTTTTCTGACAATAAATTATTCTGTCACTGACGCTGACGAAATCTACACTGGAGTTTAACTTCGTTACTATAAACTTGTTTTCAAAGAAAAGAAATGCATATTTAAATCTCTTAGTTATCCTACACATACAGACAGATATATAAAAAGTATAGACCGACAGGGTTTACACATTCAAACTGAGGTATTAATTAACTGCAAAGAAAACGAAGGGATGACAATAATATTATCACCTAATTCTAACACATGTGTTTGGATTTTACTCATTAAATTTCTTTCCTTTCAATCAGCGTAACGACATTGAAGGATTAGAAGGTTTTTTTTTTACTGAACTCGAAGATGATTTGTTGTTCTGGTCCTAAATGTAACCTTGAAGCTCAATAAACAAGTTGAGATTAATAGATAAAAAGGAGACATCTAGTGGTAAAATCTATGTTTACTTTGATTCTCCTTTCCATCATTATTAACATTAATACACTTTTAATGTTGTACTTAACAAAGCAGCAATCTTCAAGTGTTAAATTAAGGACTGATATTCGGTGGAGAACCATTAAAAACTAGGAAGTGCCGGACATTTGAGAAGTGAATTCAACTAACATTTAGAAATTAATCTAATACTCACTAGTGGCTGAGCACACGATTAAGTTGCCTTGCGTTCTAGTGAGAGGCTAGGCAGGTTGGATCCACCAGGTTGCGTATGAAGACAGGCACTCATCAGTGACCTTAGCTAGCGGCAGTGGTTTACATTGTTAATTAGAAGAAGTTAGAATTCTCGGGTCGTTGCATTGGTTTCCAGTATCTGAGTGTTCTGTGGGGATCGCCTCATAATTTGATTTTCATCCTAGTTTAAGACTTTAAAGCATTAGAAATAGAACCTACAAGTTTCAGGTTATGGAGCGTTTTCCTTGATCATTCATCTGTCTTTGACTTCGTGTTTTTCGGAATAACTTGTTTTTATACTTTCTCTCTACCTACCATTTTAAGTGCCTTGTTCCGCGTACAGTCACATAACAATCACATTGTTAATATAACCTTCCTTTATATATTAAAGCCAAAATAGTGGGACAGCACAGGTTTTATATCATTTATATATGTGTATCGTATGTTTTTTCTTTTGGATATAATTTTCAGCAGTTTCATACCTATACTGATGATGAAAGTACGTCGGTGGCACAGTGGTTTGGACTCTCGCCGACCATGCACATAGTCCTAGGTTCGACCTCCTGCCGACACACACCTGATATCTATGGTCGACCTGCAAAATATGGGCTACCAATATCCATGCTGAAAATTCCATACTTGTACCAAAAATACAGTGTGGAATCAAGCTGTAAATCAAAGAAAAAACAATTAATCTCAGTCACTGAAATCAGTTAATTCCTTTTCTGAATTTTAACAAAACAATAAGAGAGAATGTAATTTATCTGACACATGTGTAAAATATGCGCTAAGCATTTTTGACATTCCAATCACATGTTTATGTGAAAGTAAACAGCATATAAAAGGCTAGAATTGAACCATTGTAGGTCAAAATGCTTATTAAGGGGTGAAAAATCAGAGAAATTAGGTAAAAGTGAGACAAAGTATGGTAGTATTATCTAAGTTAATCTAAGTTAAATTGGATTGCCAACCCAAATTCAATGTAATAACAAATAATTTTCAAAACGAATAGAAAAGATATAAACACTTTTACACCAAGGACTACAACTAATTTAAGTATGTGACCCAAACATGTTTTTATTTATATGCTTAAAGGGAGTGTTAAAATCAAATTCATGACCCATATCTGTGATTTATTTTGCCGTAGATGATGTTGGGCATCCATTTCCATGATCAATTGAATTAGGTGGTTTCATTTGCTACTGCAACTACTTGGAAGTGTTCTCCGTATCCCGAACCTTCAGAGATCGATGGGTTCACCCTATGTAAATGCGACCATTATTTATTTCTTATTGCATTCCTTTGCGTTTCCAGCTGAACATGGGGCTTCAGACTTGACCTTTGAAGTGTCAGTAGCACTGGCTTTATTTTTACGTGGTGAAGTTGCGCTCAATCTCACCTCATTACTAGCTTTACTACCGACTAGGTGACGTAAAGGAGTGCTTCTACCGGGGATAGAACCTTGGACCATGTGCGTGGTTGGCGAGACTCTACCGCTGAACCACCGATGCACTACATGCATACGTGTACACTGGTGATCAGGCTTTGGTAGACACTCACTCATGAACAACAAAAAGAGAGCTGACTGAATTAGTTGAGCCTTTTCGTATGATACTTCTATAGAGTTTAATGAATTCATTATTATTAAACTTATTCCATGTTAGTTTGTTTATTAGATATATCACACAGTGAAACAGTATTATTACCTACTGGACGACGTTCCGAACAAGAATTATTGTTCATTATTACATCAATTATAATCACACGACTTCGAAACTTGAGTTTTATAGTTTCTTTTGTTTTCTCCTATTTGTCGTCGTAGGGGTAGTAGAATTTTCCAGATATCAGGGACAGGTGATGAATCATTCCTATTGCACGTATCCGCAGTTGATTCGATAAACAAAGCTTACGTTATAAATCTCTCCCCTCACCTTGTTACCTTAAATTTTATAACTATCATCTTATCTCATCCTATTGTATGGTTGTGTGTAGTTGCATGTAGTGCCATGGTTGAACTATTCTCTAGATTTCTTACCTTATCCGGGTCAACTAATCTAGATTTTGGTGGGTTTTTATGCTCAGCCAGTCTGACTGCCTACTACTTTCTACTACTTTAACCTATGTATTTCATCTGACAGTCACTTCAGGTAAGGTATGAGATAAACTAAACTGTTTTGTTTTAACGGCTCCACAGGATCCTTTAACCGACAAAGGTTGTTTCTAATTGAGTTTGTAGGGGGCTTGAATACCACTTTTTATTCCTGCCTTGTTAAGAATTCTGGGTAAGGTTTCCAAGGTTCCTTCCTTGACACTTTTAAAATCTAATGTAACAACTAAAGGGGAGAGATTTATAACGTAAGCTTTATTTATCGAATCAGTCGCAAATACATGTAATACGAATGACTCAACAGCTGTCTCAGATATCTGGAAGATTCTACTACCCCTACGACGACAAAGAGGAGAGAACAAAGGAAACTATAAAACTCAAGTTTCGAAGTCGTGTGATTATAATTGATGTAATAATGAACAATAATTTTTGTTCGAAACGTCACCCAGTAAATAATAATACTGTTTCACTGTGTGATATATCTAATTAACAAACCAATATGAAATTACTTACTACCATAGTACACAAGTTTTATACACATCCTAATCTTATTTATTTATTCTTGCTTTTAAATTTTTCAGCTCGATCGTAAATATAAACTAAATCCAAGTAGTATGCGTAAACCATCATCAGCAGTACGCAATTTGTCTACAGTTCGTAAAGAAAGTATTGCTAGTTTTGCATCTGGTGGGCTAACTGTTACATCACAACTGAAGGCTAATAACTTTATTGAATATATAAATGATCATGAAACAACTTCATACAGTGATATCAGTGAACATGAAGATGGTGTGGTACGACGAACTTGGGCAACATAATTAGTACATATATATGGATATATATATTATATATATATATATATAGAGAGAGAGAGAGAGAGAGAGAGAAAATTACCAGAAAGAATGAGTGTCATTCACTGTGTTCTATTTTCGGTTTTCAGTTATCATTGTTTTATTTTACATAATAATGTAGTAGTATTACTCATAGATAGGTAGGCAGAGAAGAGGTATTTTTAGTATATTTATTATTTTTTTGTAGATATGAATACAAATTGTTACACTCTCGTTATTCCAATCTATCATTACTATTATTATTGTTACGTAATACCTTATCTTTAAGTCTTAGAGGGCTTCGCACACCCGCCTATCTCTCACGTTTATCCTATCCGTCTTCCTATACAAAAGAATATAAACACGGTCATTGTCATTTTACAGGTTATGATAATTGGTTTGTGTACAAGTGTATACAAAAAGTGTAACTCTTCACTGCATATCCCGTTTTTGCGGAATTTTGATGCTTGTTCAAATAAAATGTGCCTGGATACACTTTACACTCTCTCTCTCTCACACACACACACACTCATGACTGCCTGCCTACTACACACAGACATATGCACTTCTCGTAATTGTACATGTATAGGAATCATATACATATACATATATATATACATATACGCATATATATAGAAGATTTCTTGTCCCATTCCATGTTGATTCTGTTCACATTCACATTCTTCTGCATAACGAATACCCAAGTGTTTGTTTTCTGTTTGGAGTTCTCCCCCATTTTTCTCTTCCATGAAATTTATCGCACAATAATCTAGCATTTGTTTGTGAAAGGAATTCCACGATATATATATATATATATATATATATATAATTGGTTGCTTCTTCTGGAATTCTACACGATTTTGTGCCATCTGTTTAGATCACCACATTGTTATTTGGTTTTTCATTATTATTATTGCTATTGCTATTGTCCCTCCGTTTTTTTCCACTCATATCTGAGCCGATTGTTAGCAGATAGGCGATTTGCATACAACGGAATGAATGGATCAAATGCCAAATTAAGAAAATAATAATAAAAGTTTACACTAAAATTTTCAACTTATTTTTTCACACATATTTGTACCTGATTCACAATTCACACATACACATATATACATACATACCATGGTTTAAAACTTGTTCGAATATAATGGAAAAAATAACAATAATTCAACTATTTTGTAATAAAATCTTTATGATTTGAAAGTGACTTTTATATACACATACATCATCAAGTGAAATTATATTTTTATAATGATATGGAAAGGAGCTACGCAAGAATTATAGATAACAGAGGAGTTGAAGACACTGGTTTCATTCTATTTAAGTCTTATATTACGGATACTACCCCAAAATCGGGTCCAAAAAAGTCGAAGAATTGAAAACTTCAAAAACGCTTCCAGACGATAGAGGAAGGCATGAAACGTTTTTTGGTATCTGTGACCATGGGGTTTTGAGCTTGTGCTAGGCCTAATAGCGCCCAGCTAGGCTTTTTTGCTTATAACCCTAAAATCCTATAGTAAACACACCATAAGCTATATAGGCGATATGAGCGTGGGTTAAATTGGTCTCATGACTAGCTTATATAGTCTTGGTATACGTGTAGAAGCTATTTGCATGCTAAATTGGTTGACAGGGATAAGGATTTCATTGAATTTGGTGGCTGATGGCTACGTTTATAGGGGCCCATTGTCACTATAGCGTCGTTATGCGTGCTACTTTTGCATACAATAATAATAATGGGTTTGGCTAGTCTTGTATGCGAGATGAGTTATATTGGGCTTGTCTATGCCGTGCATAATTGATTGACGCGATCAGTGATCGACGTAACAGTGCTTACCTATGCATTACGGTGCGAATGGTCCACCGAGGGAGAGGGCTGTCGAGTGGTTGCGCCACTGGATGATCCTGAATGCCGGTGTCGTCTCGGAAGAGGCAGGGATGGGTGTGTTTGGTTCTCCTGAAAACCAATATTCAGTCAATAGATGTATCACTGTGTGAATAAACTGGCTGATCCTGCCAGTAGTTATATGCTTGTCTCAGAAATTAAGCTATGCATGTCTAAGTACATACCTTAAAACAGAGAAACCGAGAATAGCTCATTAAATCAGCTATGGTTCCTTAGATCATATATATTACTTGGATAACTGTAGTAATTTTAGAGCTAATACATGCAATTATGTGGCACAGTGGTAGAATGCTTGCCAACCAAGCAGGTGATTCGGGGCTCCATCTCCGGACAACGAACTACAAAACCTCTCTAACCCAGTAATGAGACCGGTATAGAGGGAAGGTTGGACATGAGGCTAGCAACTTCATCTCTTAAAAATTAATGCCACTGCTACCGAAAATTCAAAGCTCTAGCTTAAAGCCCTATGTTCCACTTGGAACGTAAAGGAATAAAAAAGTCCTGTTAACTGAATGTACACATATATTCCAGTGAGACTGATAACCAACATCTCAACTACGACTAAGTATCTCGTAATGGTAAAATCAATAATGTTATATTATTACTCCGTTGGGTTCCGAGTGGAATACAGGGCTTCAGTAACACATCTAAACTTTCTTCTATCTTCTGCTCTCCTCTTTAGCTAGGCCTACGATTGCCCATAATCTCTCATCTTCTGCTTAATGATCTTTTCCGTGTCACCCTCGGAAAACCCACTCGTTGCTTACTATTTAGATCGTACTCGAGGGTATACCTGGCGCGAGGTGTCATTCTACAGTCTCCTTAGTTTGTACCTTTTTCACCTCCATTTTCTTCTCCTACATATTCGTTGAGCTATGGGTTCTTGAATGGTTTGCTCTCAGAGTTATTTGTTGCCAATTCTTTCTGGTCATCTAATCTTCAATATGTAGCTAGCAAATGCAGCTGTTGATATAAGTCTGTAACCTGTTGGAAATGCTTTTTGTTACGCTGGCGCCAAGTTTCTGATCCATATTGGAAAAACTGACTGACTTCTTTATGCTGTGTGCCTAAGATTTCCAAACCGATTTCAAACTGATGAAGGTGTTTCTTGCCTTTCCGATTCTAGCTAGTTTTTACATCTTCATTCTTTCTTGTGTCTGTGGTTGAAACAATACTCCCTAGATAATAGAAGAAAGTGACCTATTTCAAATTTCTCTCCTTGATGGTAACTGGTGCTTGTTGTTCTTGGTTGGTTGGTTGTCTTGACCAACTAAGGGGAAATTTGACATAAAGTGTTTTTAATAATTGCAGACTCATATCCGTTGCTCAAGAGATAGTAATCACTGGTTAGTTGTCTACTAGGTGACAAACGTCTTGTCATTTGATACTATTGGTATGGAGTTCAAATCCCACTGGGTATATTGTTATTCTCTAGGATACAGGTACACTAGGCAGAAAAGTACCAAATGGAAGGAAACTTTCATTCTAGGTTCTGTTGCTAGCCATCACCAACCAAACAAAACCATACTAACCTATAGACCCTTTCATAATGTTCTCAAACAAAAAGTGACCATTCTGGTGCAACATACTCAATCAACGGGAGATTCAAAATCGTTTTGACACATTGTAAAAACAAAACTGGCAGTTAGGAATGCTCAGATGTTCGATAAATGTAAATAGATATAAGTAACCGATAACTCTGTTTTTCAAAGACGTGCATTTATCCTTAAATAACCTCTGTTAATTTCACTTTGAAATTTAATAAAGAAACCTTTCATCACCACTACTACTACTGCTTTTACTGTAGGTGTTGTTAATTTCCCTGTAGGAATTTTTCCTAACAGATAATTATAAGAAAAATAAAAATATAGGCAGTCTGATTTTATCCCATGAAGTCAATAGTTAGCAGATAAGGAAAAAACTGGGTACACATGATTTATCAAAATGTTTTTTTTTCAATTTTTACCGTAGGCGTTATTATATGTGTGTATGCATGTATGTATTTTTAATATTGCCTTTAAGACAGAGAGAAGAGATTCTCAAAAGATGTCATTGCTTTGAGCTTTTTGTCTGCTGAAGAGAAATACTTTGTTGATAACTTTAATATACATTTCAATTTTGTTCAGTTTATCAAAAATATTGTCTAAAACAATTAATCTATCCTGACAAATTTTAATAACAGTATTCCTGAATTCAGTTTTTATCGCGACTTTGAGAAGGTCGAGGTGTTATTGATATAAGTATAAAAACTTGAGTACTGTGGTGGTAGAGTATAACTCCATTATGGATAAGATTTTATTTCGATAAGTCACACAGTGTTATACAATAATATTAACTGATGACGACGCTTCGAGCACAAATTACCGCTCATAATCACTCACACAGCTTTTTCCTTCATTTATATGCATGTGTGGAATCGACTAGATATTTAAATAAAAATCAATATGTGATAATGTGCATTCAGAAATAATAATATGAGTGTTATTGATCAATTACAATTATATGGGAAATAAGACGAGTGTTTTTATAGTTATAATAAGTAACTTGTTCGAATGTTATGATATACGTGAATTGAAATAGAATTTTGAGATTATTTATTATCCTCCTCTGATTTGACTGGCGGTAATAATATCTTCCATATTTCTGGTATTTACATTGAGTCATTTCTGTTGCATTTGTTGAGTGTAGACTCGATGAATGAGGATTCAGTAATCAACCTCTCTTTCTCCTCCTGCCTATATTACTTCTTAGAATTTTAACCCACTTTCACCCTATTGTGTGGCTGTGTGTTATTAATCCATGCAGTGAAATCGCTGAGCTTTTTTCTAAATGACTTATCTTCTCGGGGTCAACCATTCTTCTCCTTAGCTAAATTCTTATGTTCCGACAATCTGATTACCCCCGATCTACTAGTTCGATCTATATAGTTGACCTAAGTTACAGTCATTGCAGGGTATTTTGTAAATTATATTATTTTGTTTAATTGGATCCACCGGATCTTTTAGCCTACAGAGCTTGTCTCTGAGTGAGTTTGTAGGTTTGAATGCCACCCTAATTCCTGCTTCATTAGGCATCCTTCTTAGGGTCTCAGATGTCCCCTCTTTATATGGTATAACAGTAGATG